AGCCGACTTGAGCAGAGCGCTTATCAAGTGGTGTAGAGTTTTTGCAAGCTGGGACAGTGAATCTTCCCCTGTCACCCGTCAGCTTCAGGAAGCCGCCTCGCCTGAGGCCTGTCATGACCTCCTGGGAGATTATTTGGCCCGCAAAGCTCCCAGTACATGTCTCAAGCGTGCAAATAGCATGTTGATGTTGGGCAAGTCTGTAGCTTCCGAAGGCTTAACAATGCCCACGCAGGAGCCGTCTCTTTACTCGATTTTGAGAGATTGTAAAGCCGGTGGTGCATCCTTGTCAGCTTTGCGAGGCATCATGGAAGCGATCACTTTCGTGCACTTTACATTTGACATTTTGATTTTGCATGCCAGTGTCAAGAGCAAGAGATGTTGGGGCCTGTCCTCAGCCAAGCAAGCCACTCTTGCCTCTAAGGCGGACCCTTTCACAGTTGAAGAAATACTTGAGATGCATCGAATACTTTACGAAGGGGACGATCTCTGGGATCGTCTCATGTGTGGAGTGTCCCTCTTCTGCATCTACGCCAGGTGTCGATGGAGCGACTTCCAACATGTTGACTCGCTCTCTCTGGAGTGCAACGACCAGGGCTTTGCAGAGTTCGGCTCAGCTTTCATCGATGTGCATAAGACAATGAATTTCTCCTCAAAGCTTCCGAAGTGTCTTGAGCTAGTTGCGGTAGGCCGTGGCCTCGATGGCAAAGATTGGCTCTGTGTGTTCATGGAGGTCCGAAAGGCTTTAGGCGTCGAGTACCACAAAGGGTACCCAAGCATGCCCGCCCCAGACAAATCTGGCGCCCCGACGGTCAGGGCTTTGGGATCTGACGAAGCAGGTGCGTGGCTCCGAGAGCTACTGCCAGGGCGTGAAGGCCGGCGCACCACCTCCCACAGCTTGAAAGCCACTCTGTTGTCTTTTGCAGCTAAGAGAGGGTTAGCTCACACTGACCGGCTGGCCTTGGGCGGGCACTTCCATGGGGCTCACATGGCTGATGTATATGCGCGGGATGCCTTAGCACGCCCATTGCGACTTCTGGCGGGCATGCTGTCTGAGATCAGGCTAGGAAAGTTTGCACCAGATGCTGGCAGGGCTGCTCGTTTTCCTGGGCGCACCAATGAGGAATTGATAGGGGCCGAGCTGCCCACAGGTGTCGCCCATGCCGCTCCCACGGAACCTCAGCCGCTAGGTGAAGTCCACCTTGGCAGCAGCAATCGCGACAGCAGCGCTAGGGGTCTTGAAAGCTTCTCTCAGTGGGATCTTGTCTCCTTGGGGGCACCGTCACATGCATCGAAGGCCGTGAAGTCGGATGCGTGCACTTCCCAGGCGGGAGGCGAAGTCATGAGTGTGAAATCGGACAGAACCGAACCTCCGAGTCCCGATTTTTCTGAGGGTGTTGGCGACCTGAGCCTCATGCCTGATCGAGCGCCGCAGGGATCTTTTGAGATAGTTCCGGACGACATCTCCGAAGTCAATCCCGATGACGGTGTCTCCTCTGACGGAGACACGTCGTCGGAAGGCTCCTCATCCGAGTCGTCTGATTCTTCTGAGGGAGAAAATCCGGAGCCCAGGCTGATGCCCCCGCCTTCGCCTCCTGAAGGTACCTTCTTCATGCAGCATCGCAAGCTCAAAACTCTGCATTTGTTGTTGACCGGGCACCGCAGCTTCACGCTGTGCGGAAGACCGTTGCAAACTATCGACAGCCCCTTCATTGAGCCTGGCCGGCTGAGGTACGATACCCCAGTGTGCAAGCAGTGCAAGAGATCTCTAGCTAACCCTGGGCGCGACTTATTTTTGCTGAGGGAGTGGAAAGAGAGAGTGTGTGCGTGTCATGGTAGAGGGTTTCATGTCGGGTCGTGAGCCAAAATCATCAGGACAGGCAGCTGCCCCCTCGATGTGCCGCAACTCGTCCCTTCTGCTCGCTTCTTCCCTCTCTCTTTCCTCCCTCTCTCTCTGGTCTCGATCCTTCTCGCTCAACATGTGAGTTTGCTTGATGGATCACACGCTGAGAGTCGGGTGCAGCAGCTTTGTCTCAATTCATTAGGACGGACAAGCCCATAGTGCTGAGAGTTGCCATGACCCTCGTTGACAGCGAGGCCGCTTTTGCAGCTAGGTGTAAGGAGATATGTGGCGACGATTCTCTTCACACATTGCTGCAAGCCTCGGGGGTGCAAACTCACTCAGCCTTGGCCTTCAGCTGTGGAACTCCGAAGGCGCAACCCACGGAAGCAGAATTTAAGGCTTTTGCTGAGTCAGTTGTCGGGAGCCCAGCGTCCATAGGCCGCGTGAGCCAGCTCAAAAGACTTCATTTCGAATCTTCGACTTTGGTCATTGCCCAGTTGCGCGCACTCGTAGAAGGGGATTCAACAGATGCTGGAAAAAGACTTCCGGCAGCAGAGAAATCCGCCCGCCTTGCGGATGCCAAGAGGCGTTTGAAAGGCCTTGTCATCGAGGATGAAATGGAGCCGAGTCATGCCCTCATTGATGCAGTTTCCCATATGGGCGAGTCGAATGCGGTGGTTTGGATCCCACCGTCGAAGTGCACTAAGAGGGATGCCGAGCTCAAGCTTGGGCTTCGCGACAAGCAAAAGTACTTGACTGTTCAGGAGCAATCAGTCACTTTGGCCCCGGCTCCAGATAAAATCGTCGCTGAGCATGGGACTCCCTTGGAGGTCCAATGGTGTCTCCAGCGCCGAGGCTTGGCTTTCTTCATGTGCGGCTTCATGGAGTGGGAGACTCACGAGAAGTGGGTCGCGTCTCTGCTTAGATGTTTGTCATCGGATGTTCCTCCGGGGTACGCACCCATTTCGATGCAGCAAATTTTGCGAGCAGATTCCGAGATCTTCTTGCTTTTAGCCCGTGAGGTCAAGCGTGTCAAACCTGACAGCAGTGGTGTGATGGAGATGGATGTTCTTATGAATCGGTTCCGTCATGACCCTCGGATCACCACTTATCTTCAGCCACTTCAGCGTGGATCAGCCTCTCAGGGAGTCGCTTCGCCGAGTCTCGCAGGTGAGGTCGGATCATCCCTTCCTGATCTGAGGCCTAGCAAACGCCAAAAGAAGAGAGACGCTAAGCTCAAGGCCCCTATCAAAACTGCAAATCTGCCTGAGGAGTTGAAGTCGTGCCCGTACCATGCTGATTCTTCAGGCAACCGGTTCTGTTGGCAGTTCAATCTCGGTAAGTGCAATGCCGAGTGCAAGGGCAGTCCGCCTGCTTGCAGCCGTGGTGTTCACGGTTGCATGACGTGCAGGCGCTTAGGCCATGGGCATTCTTCTTGCTGGTTCGCCCAAGCAGGCAAGGGCAAAGGCAAGAAAGGCAAGGGAAAGGGCGACAAGAGTGATTCGTCTTCCCCTAAGGAGTGACTAGCTCCTAGCAGTGTTGCACCCTCTTCTGAGGGGCCCAGGCTGCGATCTCGCAGCCCCAATCCTGCATGTGAATTCCGTGTGTCAGGGCAGCAGCCCAATTCTGTCGGCCAAGATGAGGCCGAAAGTGTCACCAAACCTTTTACAAATGTTCACGATGATCCCAAACGTGACTCTGTGCTTTCTCCTGAAGCTGATGTCAACGCGGCATGTTCCGCGTTCAATTTCAGCTTCGCTGCGTTCATGGAGAGCCCATCCAGTGTTCCAGGTGACCCTTGTGAGTCACTTGCTTCGAAAATTCTTGAGCATGGCAACTGCTCATCTGAGCAACTGCTTGAACTCTCGAACATGCTACCAAGCGAGACTCCAACTCGAAGTGATGGAGCCGCCCCGTCAGGACGTGCCTTCACGACTGGAGCATACTACCACTGTGGCACTGTAGGTGTCAGGCATAATGCGCGAGCTTACCCACTGGCCTCGCGTCTCCTTGCCACTCTCGCCGCCAGTGTATTCCCGAATTTTCATTTCACAAGTGTCGGCCTTTTCAAAGATGTAAAAACTCGCAGGCACCGTGACCTCAGGAATCTTCCTGGGTCTTTGAATGGCGTTGCACCTCTTCGCCCATTCTGCGGTGGTGCAGTGAGGCTGCATCACCCTAGTGGTCCTGAGGATTTGCTGGTCTCAGCAGGGCCCGTCACGTTTGATGCGACGGTTGAGCACGAAACTTTAGACTGGACCAACGGTCCCCGTCTTGTACTTGTGGCTTTCAGTGTGTATGGAATTTCCAAAATTCCAGTTTTAGATGAGAGCTGTTTGAGGTCCCTGGGTTTTGCGCTCCCAGGTGGTACCGATGCACCTGCCTCGGTTCCTGCACTCAGCCATACAACCACAGCTGCTTCTGATACCGTCTCTGGAGTCATCATAGATGTTTTCGCTGGCGATGCCGCCTTTTGCAAAGCCGCGCACAAAGCCGGCTTTAGAGCCCTAGCCTTCGACCTTAAGCCCCAGCGTGCCCAATTCCCAATTCAACCTCTAGACATAACGCAGGCCGATGAGCTTGCGGTGCTCCGGGAGGTGATTTCCGAGCACGCAGGTGCTACGTCATTGGTGCAGTTCACTGTCCCGTGCTTGAGTACCTTCTTCACGTCAAAGACTGGATCATGGAGTTTCGCTGAGTTGCTGGTGGATGCTGTCTTTCAGCTTTGTTCGCATTGCAGGGCAGTGGGAGTTCCTTTTGCGATTCTGCACCCTGCTACATCGCGCTTCTGGCACATGCCGTCTTGCCAACGCTTCTTCCAAGCTGCAGACGGTGAATGGACTACATTTGACCAATGCATGCATGGAGGGGCCCAGGATCGCCGCGCTTTCTGGTGGGCCTCAACTGCTTTGTTGCGCCCTTTGCAGGCAACCTGCTCCAAGGACCACAAGCATTATAGTCAAGCTGCTTCGGCCCCACAGTGGCCTCATTTGCTTTGGGATCGTGCTGTAGAGTTACTGTGCCAGCACTCAGGCTTCACGCCAACTACATCATCTTTGTTTGGTCCTCCGGGTCGTGACCTACGGCCTGCTATGGGCAAGCAATCTCGTAAAGCCCGGCCATTGGTCAGCGAATTCTGCAAATATGATGCTTGGGCAGTGCCTCTTCGTGCCGAGCACCCTGTGCTCCAGCTCCTGAGATGCTACCCTAAAGGAGCCCGTGCAGTAAGACGCAAACTTGTTGATCCGGGGTTGGTTCGGGTTTGCGTTTTACCTTCTGTTGACTTGTGCAAGGTCGCTGATGTCTTGTCGAGCCCCTGGACATGGTCCACTAAGCATGGCCCGCACGATGCGCACAAACCGACCAAGGATTTCTCTGATGTCTGCGGCTTATTGCCTCCGACTGAACATTCTCCAGTGCTTGAAGTTGTATGGATTGGCATCCCCCGTGAACCGGATGACTTTTTACGTCGAGCAGTGGCAGCCGGTCACCCGAAATCCCTTCTTGATGTCGAAGCCGATCCGCACATGACCTTGCTAATAGACAACCTTCTGAACAGCAGTGTCAAACAGCCGGACAAAGGTTTGCATGAAGTTCAGCGTTGGACCGAGCTACGGTCGGACCTCTCCGAATCCCAGGATTTGTGCAAAAAGGAGTGGCCCATCCATGTGGCGCAGGTTCTGGATGCAAAGCCAACTCTGCTGATGGACGAATTGCTCACACAGCACGACTTTCCAGACCGCCACCTTGTGAAGCACATGACGCAGGGGTTTAGGCTTACGGGCTGGGTTTGTAGATCGGGTCTTTTTCCCTTTGACCCTAAGCCTCCCGCCTCCACCTTAAAAAGTCAGCTCTCTATGGCAAAGTCCAGAAACACCGCCACCTTGACGAAGCTCTCCAAACAGGCTCCGGATGAGGTGTCTCGTCGTGCCTGGGCTGAAACACTTGAAGAAGTTGACAAAGGTTGGATTGAGGAAGACGAAAACCCAGATCTTTCTACGGTCCTTGTTGCAAAGCGGTTTGGGCTTTTACAAGGTCCGAAGGTCAGAGTCATAGACGACTGCCGTGCTTGTGCTTTCAACTTGTTAGCAGGCATCCCTGAGAAATACAGATTACAGAGCGTCGAATACATCGCTGCCTTCCTCTTGCGAGCCATGCTTGACCCTCGCAGCAAAGGCGTTAGCATCTCAGGGAAGACACTTGACTTGACTGCGGCGTACAAACAGTACGCCACACATCCCTTCGATCGTGACCTTTTACGGATTGGCGTTAAAGACACTTCAAGCGGACACGTCCGCACTTTCAAAGTGAATTCCTTGCCTTTCGGAGCGACGGGTAGTGTGTCAAGCTTTCTCAGATGTGCAGCTGCGATCTGGTTCTTGGGATCCCACGCATTGGGAATCCCATGGACCAACTATTTTGACGATTTCCCGATTTTCTCCAAAGATTCCGACTGCGACCTAGTGGAAGAAGTAGCCACCAGTTTTCTTGACCTTTTGCACGTGTATTTTGCACGCGCTGGCAAGAAAGCCACTGTGTTTGCAAAGGCTTTCAAAGCGCTCGGCCTTATCATCGATTTGAGCCATTTCGGCGAAGGATATGTGACCATCGGTCATACTCAAGAACGTGGGGATGAGCTGCGTGCGACAATCACCCGCATTCTTGAGTCCAACCGCCTTTCGCACGCTGAAGCCGAAAGCTTGCGAGGCAGGCTCCACTGGTACACTTCATTTCTTTTTGGACGCAGATCTTCTCAAGCTTTGAACGTCCTGAGCGACTGGGTAAATCGAAGTGCATCAAAAGGCATGCTGCCTACAGAACTCCGAGAGTCCCTCATGTTCCTCAGGGACGTAGCTCTCCATTCTGCGCCGCTAAAAATTTCGAGGAGTTTGCAGCGAACTTTCTTGATTTTTACTGACGGCAGCTTGGAGGGAAACTTTGCTTGTGTGGGAGGCATTCTGCACGACAGTCAAGGCGTGCCCCTAGCCTTTTTCTCAGTCAAGCTGAACCAAGCCTCTACTGAGAGACTCCATCATCACTCTTCGCATCCCATATATGAGATTGAGTTGCTAGCTGTGTGGACGGCACTCACCCTTTGGGAGAGGCATATCCATGACAGCTATTCTGTCTTTTACTTAGACAACGAAGCAGCTCGCGGAGCTTTGACGTCAGCCAAATCTTCCACTTTGACAGGTACGAAGATCGTCGAGTCTTTCTTGAGACTGGAAGATCGATCGTTATGCAGACCGTGGTTTGGTCGTGTGCCAACCCACTCAAATTGCGCAGACGATCCGAGTCGTGACTCCTTCCAACATCTCATAAGGCAGGGGGTCCGCAGAGACTCTCTGCTTTGCGATTGGCCCTTTTGAGCTGCTGCTCTCTGGGGCTCCTTGGGGGCAGCTCGTTATGCCAAACGGCATCCAGCATGGTTGCTCTCGAATGACGTTACCCCTTTGCCCTTTTTGAGTAAAACGAAGAGTCCGACTCGGTTAGCGCAAGTTTACGGGCTCCGCCCTTTACGCTCGGGTGTTCCCCGCCTTAGTGCACGTTTGAGGAAAGAAATAAGATTTTCGTCCCGGAGCGGAGCGTAGGGATAAATCTTTATTTCCTTTGAACAATCAACGGTTTTTCTCTGAAAACCGAGTGCACCAGTTTTCCAACTTTGTTTCCTTTGAGTCTTGCGAATACCTTGTCGTATCCGCATTTCTTCTCACGGGAAGGGTGGGAGGGAAGTCCATTTCCTTCGGCATGAAGTGAATCAACTTTGTCCCGCCCGCCCTCACCTTTTTATTCAACCATTGCTGAGCCACTCCCTTGGCCCTCCTTGGGGGCAGCTCGTTATGCCAAACGGCATCCAGCATGGTTGCTCTCGAATGACGTTACCCCTTTGCCCTTTTTGAGTAAAACGAAGAGTCCGACTCGGTTAGCGCAAGTTTACGGGCTCCGCCCTTTACGCTCGGGTGTTCCCCGCCTTAGTGCACGTTTGAGGAAAGAAATAAGATTATGTAAATTCCCAGGATCCAAAGAAACCAGATGCTTTTGGGTCTTGCGCTTCACATGGCCCACGAGGTGACGAAGAGCCCATGCCTCGTCGTCGATTTGGCTGTCAGACGGCTCCTTGCTCACAAGTTGATAAACCTGCTGCACCGTTGATCGCAACGGCTCGATGTCCGGGATCTTAAGTTTGCAGAGGGTCATTCTAACCAACATGGGGGCGAGGAGATCCACATTCAAGATAGCCAAACGATTGCTTGGATCATAGGTCTGATCTTCGTTCCGAATCACAAGCCGGCCGTCTTCCGAACGCAATCTGTTCCGAATGTTTTCGAAGCCTTCCCACTCACTCGCCAGACCTTCAACCGAAAACCGCTCAGCCATGGCGAGAATCCCACTCTTGCCTGCGAAGCCGATACAGCTAAACAGAAAGATGCATAAATTACATCTATGAAGCAGTTCAATCCAGCAGCATCCCACTTCTCTGTCAGGGCATCGGGGCCCCGGCATCAGCGACAAAACGGCGGTGATCAGGGCCGTCACGACAAAAAAGAGCCGATGCGCTGCCCGAGCTGGGATCACACTTTCTCTGAAGCCCCTGATGTTCGTCGGAATCCCCTAGATTGCCCTTTATAAACCTCAACATAAACGCAAGAATTCCCGACATATACCATAAGAACTTAGGTTCTGAAGAAGAACCAGGTTTTACTGAAGAGAACGCGGTTCCTACGCAACTTCCTCTCAAACCCAGGTTGTGCACTAGCGACCTTCTTTTTATTGGGTTCCGGCTGCTGTAGGCATTTATTGGAGCACTGCATATTGGATTGGAGGCCCCGCAACCCAAAATACTTCAGCAACTATCTTGGGGAAGACGCTATCCGTCGGATTAAGAGTCTGGCTTCGAAATCTCCTGTGCGCAATATGTCACAGAATGTGCTGCTGCGATATACTGTGCAGATGGGACTTCGCTGGCAGAGACAGTAAAACAAATAGATCGTCTGCATGCAGATCGGATGCAGCAGTGCTCACGTCATCGCCCGCCAGCTTCCAGCATGCAGATGGCCGGAGTCCATGGCTACATATATATATATATATATACATTCTTGATTTCTCCGAATTATATGTCACAATGTGTGGTATACATATGTATATATATATATACAGATACGTCTATATAGCCATATTTTTTATCGCTATACAAATATCAACACCATTTTAGACACACGCGCACATCTTTAAAGATTGCATCGTCGACGATAAACTCGGTGTATGCCTGAATCTTCGAGGCGTACCGGCTGTGAGTGCTGGCCATCACGCGAACGTGCAACACACCTGTTATAATATCCTATTATAAATCGAGTAATGCACAGTATTAGAACACCGATGTCACACTGAATCCCCCGACAGGTTCATTTCAAAGGATGTATTGTGGATCCCTTGCCCCAAATTTTGGCGAATCACTCCTCGAGCTATACAATCAGACCCCGGAATTGCAATTTGGGAGCTAGATTCTTAAAAGAAACCGAACATGATCGCACTGATGCTCATGACTGCTTCGGGTGTGTAGCCCATTTCGTACGTGATCCCGACTTTTTTGTAGCCACTGGTGTGCAACCCAAACATTTCAAAGCCAAATTGCACATCTCAGAAATCTTTTGATCCCGTTTCGTTCGTCCGTGAAACTTTTTGATTCAAGAGGCAAAAATGCGATCGACCTTATATGGGCCAGCGTCCTTATACCACCAGCGTCCTTCTATATAAGGCCGGTTGACCCGTGCTGGAAGGGAGCCTCCGAGCCGTCTGGGGCGCTTGTAGATAAGGCCGTCTCGGCTTACGAAAACAATGAACTCCGTTAAATTTCTTGGGAGGCATGCACATCTCGTGAGCAGGAGGTGGCATCAGACCGCAAGAAGGACACCCGGTTCACCGTAGATGAGCACTCGGGGAAATTGAAGGTCGAGACTTAAAAATACTGAAAAAAGGGTCCACGGCTTCCGAGGTGCATGCGTTGCTCGCTTTGCAGCGCCGTTCTTTAGCACTGGACCAGGCAAATCTTGTAGACTACACCTTGATGCAACAGTGGTCCGATCGGATCATCAGAGCGCGGATGGATGAGCCGTCACCGCAGTACGGCAAACCTTCCTGGTCGCAGCTTGTGGCGGCCGACAAGAAACTCTTCTCCGAACTCCGAGATTTGACTCGCGATGGAGTCCAATCTTCCGGAGGTGGCAGGCCCCTTGACAAACATCTCCCGATTGTCATGGCGTCTTACGATGTGGTATCTTTGCTTCAACCTTTGCCTCTGAGTGGGGGTTCTCGTACTGCTGCTGAGCCTACCAAGGAGCGGCCCGGTCCTTATTCTCCGTCTGGTGCCGACAAGAAAGGGAATGGCAAAGGAAAGACGGGCAAAGGCAAGAGTAAGATGCCCGCACAGCTGATCGCGTGGGGTTGCAGCTCTTCAACAAAGAAGGGGAATCCGTATTGTTACGGATTCCAGCTTGGCACATGCACTAATGCTGTGACAAACAATGCTTGCATCAGAGGACTGCATGCTTGTGCGATTCCAAAGTGTGGACAGCACGGGCACGGTGCTTCCGCGTGTCCCAAGAAGAAGCAGGAGTGACGGTGCCCGGATTTCGACCCAGCTCCAGCAGCGGGCGGGCCGGGAACCGAGAGCAGTGTTTACGGTGCCAGAGAGGAGGACCATGCTTCCTGCCTTAGGGGATGCTGGGCCTCAAATCTCGGGTAATGGTCTGGTGCCCCTCGACAGACAGCGCGAGGGTACTGACCAATACGCGGCCAATCAGCCTTTTGTGGTGTCCGCCCCCGAGCGGCCAACACCATCTCGCGCGGGGACCGCTGATTTGCGGATGCCCGCCGCTGACAATCCTTTTAACATTTTGCTTCGATGCTTAAGCTTCTTCGATCATCTTCCCAACGATACCGTTGGTGTAGGAGTGCAGTCGACCCGTGACCAGGTCGGCAAATCCTTCTATGCCGGAATGTATTCGCATGGGGTGGTTGGTTTGAGAGCTTCAGTCCGAAAATTCCCCGATGCCATTCGAAGTTTTGCTGCCTTGATACGGGTGGTGTGCCCATCCCAGCTTTTCACTAGTCTAGTGATCCTGGAGGACTCGAGGCTTGAACCGCACAGAGATGCGTCCAATGCCTGCTGTCACAATCTCATCATTCCTTTGACCCGCTTCGAAGGTGGAGAACTCTTGCTGGAGGATTCGGTCGGTGCTGTCCGCCGCGTGGGACAATCACAATTTCGGTCTAGAGCTATTTCCTTGGATCAGGGACCCATAGCCTTTGATGCCCGACGGCTTCTGCACGCCGTCAACCCAGCTAAAGGAAGGCGGGTAGTCCTTATCGCATACTGCCTTAAGGGAGTTGCCCGGCTGCCCGAGTCAGACCTTTGTGCGCTTCGAGAGCTTGGGTTCAATCTCCCGTCGCAGGAGCCGGCCGAGGCCGACTTGGCTCCCTTCAAGCTTGGTTTTCCCGATTATAGGCCCTTGGTAGCGTTTAGTCACTTTAGTCCTGCTCCCGTTGAGGCCCCCACAAAGATTGGCTTGCCCGCGATTAAGGGAAAACCTTTGTTGTGTGTGGAGCTCTTCGCTGGGACTGGAGACCTTTCGTCCTGCTTAAGGAGCGTGGGTTTCAAAGTTCTCGCCGCGGATCGCGGTGACTGTCGGCTTCGCGGAGGCCTGCATATTGTCCGTTTGGACCTCTGCAAAAGTTTGTCTTGGCAATACCTCAGGCGCCTTGCTCAGGCCGGAGACGTGTTCCTAGTCCATCTGCAGCCTCCCCGTGCCTTCACCCAGGACCCGGCACTGGTCTCGGAGCTTGTCTCTCTGTGTCGCTGGCTTCGCGACCTTCAACCTGCCGCGCACTTTGCAATTCTTGATCGTGCTGTTTCCCCCTTGTGGAAACATCCCACAATGACCGCTCTTGCTGGCCTCTGTCCCCAGATCAGCTTTGACGCCTGTGCGCATGGGGGCGATCAGCCCGAGTGTATGTTGCTTTGGACCACTGCGGCTAAGTGCGACGGGCATCATTCCCACAAATCATGCCGCAACGGCTCTCAAGCCTCCCGGTTGCATTCATCCCTGTTCTGTCAGCGCTTTGCCGCATCCGTTGCATTGACTGCCGGCCAGAAGGATGTCGCCCCAGCCGAGCTTGATCTCTCAAATGCCACCGCCCGAGCTGCGACCCATCGCCAGCCCAAGGTTTCTAGGGCGGTGGTGCTGGTCGACGAATACCACTACCAAGTGACTGTACCGTTGCCTAACGGTGTTTTGCCATCTCTTGATGGCAAGAACTGCCTTTCTTCGGGTTTAGGCCCCGTCCCTGCCGGTTCCCGTGTGCTTAGGGTTAATTTTGAGGGGGGGTTATCTTCCCGAAGCGTCCGCGACCGGACAGGGACGTTGATTCCCAACTAGCTGAGGTGGGAGCCAATAAGGTCACATCCGTCACCTGTGGGGTGTATCGTACTCCACTGCAGTTTGCTTCGTGTGCCTTGAGACTTTGCCACCCTTTCGACATGTGCCGGGCCCTCCCGGATCAGGCTCTCAGGGTGCTAGCTCAGGTGTTGATGGAGGGCCCCGTCGCGGTTCTCCGGAGGAGGCTTGATGTGATGACTCGGTGGAAGTCCTGGGCAGCCGAGCTTGAAAAACAGGAAGCGGACCTTCACAAATCCTTGCGTCCGACTGTTGCGGGTGTGTCGAAAGGCAAGCGGCTACTCCTTTTAGACCGCATCGCAAAGTCGCTGGACTGGCCAGACTTGCACTTGCACGAAGATCTCGTGCACGGCTTCAGGATTGTTGGTGATGAGCGGCCGAGCGGCGTCTTTCCGTTCGAGCCCAACGCCGCTTCGCTGACAGTGGATGAACTGGTCGATCAATCCCGCTTGACCAAGCATTTGATTTGGAGCCAGATTCGTGATGCGCCCTTGGATCAGACCTCGCAACAACTCTTCGACATCACTGAGGCTGAACACTTGGAAAAGTCTTGGTTGGGCCCTCCCCGTTCGTGGGAGCAGCTTGAGGCCGAGTTCGGGGATTGGCTTCCCGTCAAGCGGTTCGGTGTGAGCCAGAAAGACAAGTTGCGACCGATTGACGATCTTGCTGCAAACGGGGTCAACAGCGCTTTCGGTGCCGCGGATAAGATGACTCTGCGCGCTTTCGATGAGCTTGTTTGGAGCGCATCTTTCATCATGAGAGCTCTGCTGCAGAAGGGCTGTGTCGAGGTCATCCTCTCCGATGGCCAGCGCATTGCCGGGCCACTGCACGATTCTTGGAAGGCCTCCCCCGACAGTGCTAGACCCAAGCTCAAGACGGTAGACCTTAAAGCTGCCTATAAACAGCTACCGCTGCATCCCAACGACCAGCGGTTCTGTGTCGTTTCGGTGAAACGACCATCAGATAATCGGGTGCTGGGTATGTTTCTAAGGTTCTTCCTTTTGGAGCCTGCTCCAGCGTCAATGCCTTCAATCGTGTGGCCCGACTGCTTCAGCGCATCATGCAAGAGGCCCTGGTCATGAACTTCAACTACTTCGACGACTACCCTCTTCTTGAAATGTCGTGCCTCACAAACAGCTGTGACAAGATCGTTCACTCGATCCTATCCCTGCTTGGCTTCGACTATGCTTCGGAGAAAGAGAACGAATTTGATGTTAAGGCCGACCTGCTCGGGGTCACTGTCGACCTTGGAGACGAGAATCTCACTGAGGTGCGTGTTGCCAATCGTGAATCCAAGTGTGCAGAGGTGGCCGCTGCAGTTGGTGAGGTCCTCAGTCGAGGGTCCTTACGTTCTGCCGAGGTCGCCTCCCTCTTTGGCCGAATTCAATTCATGGAGGGCCAACTTTTGGGCCGCATGGGCCGTTTGGCCTTGTCTGAGCTGCGTAGCTTGGGCTTATCTTCAGGCTTCCTTAAGCTGGGTGCTGTCGAGCGCCGATCTTTTGAGAATCTTCGCGACAGAATGCTAGCTGGCCCTCCAAGGGCGATTTGCACTCGGCCGCCTGGCCACAATGTCTTGGTTTTTACAGAAGGTGCCTGCGAGCCGGAGGGTGATAGCATGCGTTGCTCCATTGGCTGGGTAATGTATGTTGAGAGCTCCGGTAAGTGGACCACTCGTTACTTCAGTTGCAGCCTTCCAGATGAGCTGATCCGCAGATGGGGCGCGGGTGGCAAGAAACACCTGATAGGACCCGTGGAACTCTTCGCCGTTGTTACGGCCAGGGTCGTCTGGAGAGAGTTTTTAGACGGTGCGCGGACTTTATTCTTTATCGACCATTCTGGAGTGCACGCAGCTTGCGTCAACGGCTCGTCTCATGATGGGCTACGGCGCGAACTTCTCGTACAGCTTGAGATGGCCGATGCTGTGCCACTGATCGGCTGGTACGCCCGGGTGCCGAGCTTTAGCAATCCGGCCGATGCTCCGTCCAGAGGCTCCTCGGAGTTTCCAGTGTGGGGCACTCTCTTGAGGGACCATCCTCACTGTTGCATATCCAACGTGCCATTGAGCCCGTTAGGTGAGAAGGGGGATTGAGGAACGGGCTCATTCACTTGATTGATGCCCGATCGTCAAACTCTCGGATGCGACGGATGTTCCCACTTTGGCAGTGCCATTCAGAAAAAAAAAGAGAGTGCCTCGATTGCGTGAGTCCCATCAGATATTCAACATGTCTCTTACTGAATTATTGATTGAGAAATCTTATATATTGGATTTCCTGTCATACGATATAATAGATTGCGAAAAGTCGCTGAAGCTATAAGCCTATTTTGAAACTTGTTTCATTTTGGCTTTATAGCTTGAGCGATGTTTCAACTTTGCATGACGAAATTTGAAACTCGCTTTTCGCAATCTCTCTCCAACTTGAACAGTTTTTAACCCTGAGCAAGTTCAGAACCTTTTATCGGGTGGTCGTGAATGCTTGTGAATCCTTGATTTACCCTCTCAAGCATTCGGCGATTGGGCAAGTGCCCAAAATTTTAACCCCACCCACCCACCCGGGGGATTGAGGAACGGGCTCATTCACTTGATTGATGCCCGATCGTCAAACTCTCGGATGCGACGGATGTTCCCACTTTGGCAGTGCCATTCAGAAAAAAAGAGAGTGCCTCGATTGCGTGAGTCCCAACATGTCTCTTACTGAATTATTGATTGAGAAATCCTATATATTGGATTTCCTGTCATACGATGTAATAGATTGCGAAAAGTCGCTGAAGCTATAACCAAAAATTTTGCCGTAGCCATTTTGGCTCAAGGTTGCTGTAGCATCCAAAAATTTTGTTTTGGGCCCTCTACGCTCCTAGACTTCCTAGCAGGCCCGAGGTGCTACGCTGGTGTTGGGGCTAGCCCACCGTGCGTGGGCGGTGGATGGATTCAGCCGATCAGGTCAGCGTTAGCCCTTCTGACTGGGAAGCTGTCAGTAGATTGCAGGCAGAGGTCCGTCGGCTTCAAGTCACCGTCGTTGCTCTTGAGGAGGATCTTGCAAGGGCCTGGGTGAATCAGGTGGGGCACAGCCAGCGCCTGAATTGGCTGGAAGATATTGTTCCCCGGCTCCGAGCCGCCTGTCAAGCCTTTCTTGACCCGCCTCATGCCTGAAGTGCCGTCTCCTGGTGCCTCAAGCCGTGTCCCTGCCAGTGTGAGCCAAGAATTCCTTGATCATCTTGATTCCATAGCTGCTGCTGATCCGCCGCTCTTCCCGCCGCTGCCGCCCGGGCTATCACCCCCGACTGTCGTGACTGGGGATCTGCTCGGGACAGCCGGTGGTGAGGTCAATGACTATGAACACGAGGTGCCTGAGAGTGTCGCTGCCTCTCAGGAATCACTGCATCTCTCCTTCCCTTTTGGGGGTATAGGCTCTCCTCCACCTTTTGGGGATGATAGTGTGCCTCCTTTCGATGTAGAGGATCCTTGCAGCGAGTCTTTACAGGAGGATCGTGTAGGCTACGCTGCCGACGACGAACTCGAGTGGTACTCGGAGGTGCGACATGATGATGATGGCAGCGTCGGAGTCTTCGAGGAGGCTGACGCCTCTGAACCTTTCGAGATTGTAGATCCCGAAGTTTCGATTCGAAGCGATGCCACACCCCCCCCGAGGAGGCAGGTTTTACATGCGTGCGCTCCAATTCCTTGATGCTGTGCCCAACGCTCTTAGTCCAATGGACGAGCGACATGACATGCACGTCAGGTCGTAGAGATGTCAGCAAAGCGGCGTCGTATGAATATTCCCGAGCTTCCTTGGGAGTCAGGTACCGTGAACCTGATCTTCTCGAAGCGTTCGGTTCTTGGCGAGCGTGATTGGTCTTGTTCGGGCGTTCTTCTGTTAGCGGCAGAAACTGATTTGTCAACCTTTGATGAGATGCCGGGAGTTGCCCCTGAAGAGCTGGGCAGAGTTGCAAAGGTCTTCGCAAAGAAGTTAATGCACATGAGAGCCCCGGCATCCCATGAGCAAGTGCGTGCCGCTGCCCTGAAGCGTCTAAAGGTGATTATATGTCTTGATCCAACGGCCACAAAGCTAGGCGTGTCCCTCCTTGACCAGATGCGAAACTTATGCGACGATGAGGTGGTAGTCATGTCAATCTCGGACGCCTTCCGCAGCAAGGCCTCCCAGACCTTGATCAAGCGTGCCGGATCCTTGGAAAGGTTTGCCCGATGGTGCTTCGAGGAGCGAGATTTGCCTTCTCCGTTCCGTGCCTCAGAATCCCATATCTATAAGTACTTGTGTCATTTGCGAGAATCGGGAGCCAAGCCAACCTCTGCGAATCATTTTCTCCAGGCGTGGCGTTTCGCCCTTGGAGCCTTGCAGCTGTTGCGTAGCCCGCCGTCTGAGGTGATTTCGACTAGGTGCGAGGGTGCTTCTCGTGATCAATACTTGATGAAAGCGCTGCTCAAGCAAAAGTCTCCTCTGACTCGAACACAGGTGGAACGCCTAGAGTTCAAAGCTGTTGACGATGGAGACACGAAGATTGTGTGTGTGTGTGCTTGGGCAGATACTTTTCTGCCTCCACGCCTCTTGCAGGTGGTCAGATAGTCAGCGCATTGTGAGCATATCTCGGCAAGAGGCTGATGGCATTGTGCTATTAGTCGTGGATGCCCTGACAGCCAAGCATACCTACACTCAGGAAAGCCAACGGACTCTTTTGCCTTACGCGGCCCTTGGAAAAGGCCTCTCTGGAAATGATTGGGCCAGCGCCTGGCTCCATGCCAGGGAGGTTGAGGGTCTTAGTTTGGGAAGGGAAATGTGCTTGCCGAGCTTGAAGTCTGATGGGTCTGGCTGGCTCGATGTGAAGATGAGCTCGACAGAGGGTCAAATGTTCCTTCAGGAGTTCCTGTGTGACGTGATGGCTGAGGGTGTGCCTTTGTCCCAGTTGGGGACGCATTCACTGGCATTCACTCAAAGCGACTCTCCTGAGCTGGGCCCAGCGGTCACCGATTGTGACTTTCAAGATGTGGGAACGGAAGTTGATGGGGCATCACTCGTTGGACAAGCATAAGTCCCCCTTGACTTATTCCCGCCAGGCCTATGCCACTCTAATGGGAAAGGTGCAAGCCATGTTTGATAGTGTGATCGACGGCCGCTTTGATCCCGATTTGTGCGCAGCAGGCCGTGTTGCCCAGGTAGCCGCATCCTTCAGGCTTGAAGGCTCAGGTACAAAAGGCAGTGAGCCTAGGAAGGCCCGTGAGCCGAATGATGGGGCTGATGTGGACTCGAGCTCAGACGGTCGTGGTGAAGCCCAGGATCACTCGTCGCATTCTTCTTCTGGAGAGAGTGCCCGACAGGTTCCCGATGGTCTGGATCCCCAGGCTTACCCTCGTTCTCAGTTTGAGGATGGATGGGATCGATGCCACACACATGTTGTGTCGGGAATGGTGCACAAGCTGCGAGAGGATAATGCTTCAGTGTTCGTGTGCGGTAGAGTTTTGACTGCCAACTACCTGCCTTTTGGCAGCGGCGGTGTTTTGTCTGCAGAGCCAATCTGTTGCATACAATGTAGGCGATCAGCTGCGTCATGATGTGGTCTCTTTTGTCTAAAAAAGAGGATGAGACGGGGCAAGCCGAGCGCATGTTGTCGGGAAGCGTACTCTTCCTAGTGACTGTGCGAGTGTGGCATGCGGTGCACTTCGAAGCTGTAGTTTCGAAAGTCAGTGTGCCGAGATTGTGGAGTGAAGCTCCAGTTGCAATCGCCTCTCCCCCGCAGGTCTCTGCTCAGGATGCGATTAGAGCTGATGTATCGCTGACTGTGTGGCTGTGTTGTTGCTAACATGTGGGCAATCTAGGGACATGTTAACAACTGTCACATTCTCATGTGAGCATGCGTTGATTTCCTCTTGCGATTGGATTAGTCTAGTGCAATGGCTAGTGTGACGCTGGAATCCAAGGCCGCCTTCCTTGAGAGATGCAAGCGCATCGAGTCGAGATGACGGAAGCAACGATCGAGGGCTTGAGGAATGCCGGCTTCGATACTTTCGGGTCGCTGGGTTTCGCTGTGTGTGCTAACCCGCAGGCCCTTGAGGAAGCACAGGTGATTAAGTTCATTGGCGAGACGTTTCCTTCAGGGCTGAACTTGAAGCAATCTGCATGCATTCGCAAGCTGCTCTTTGAGTCGCAGGCCCTGTCACTCCAGGACCTGAGAGCCAGGGTCGAGCCTCCGTCAGTTGATGCGCCCCCGCGCAAGATGCCTGTTGCAGAACGCTTGGCTCGTGAGAAGGCCCAGCGAGAGAAGTTGAACGGTCTGATATGGGGCCCAGAGATGCAGCCTGGACAAGCGGTTGTGGATGCCTGCGTAGAGATGCTGGAACAAAATGTTCTGATCTACCAGCCGCCGCACAAGTTTGATTCCAGGTCCCAAGAGATTGCATGTGTGAAGCGCGACAAGTCCGTGCTCGTCGACATATAGACGGTGGCCTGAAAATCGCGACCAAGGATCGCGACATGTCGTGCGATGCCTCAACCGAGTATGCCTTGCGACAGGCAGGGCAACGGCGTAGCCTGGCTTTTGACTTGGCTGGGTTGGCTACTTTCCATGCCTTAGAGGGATGGGTGAACCGCATGTTCCTTGCGCTAACCCGACCTGTTCCCCAGGGGTATCGTGCAGTGACGATCCAGCAATTGATCAGTGCCGACCGAGCCCTCTTCATCAGGGCTGCTGATGCGTTAGTCATAGTCGGTTCTTTGACTTCTGTTCCAGGTCGTGCAAAGCCGTTGGATTAGCAGGTCGAGTTGTTACAGGAGTCAGCCGACATTATGTGTTACAGGTGCTGATGTCAAGAGGCCTCATGTGCCAGGTCCTGATGATGATCCGCCAGCGCCGCCAAAGAAGCCTCGCCCCGGGCTCCCAAAGAAGCCGCCGCAGAAGCCGAGTAATAAGATTGTCGTCCCGGACAACTGTTGCAGCAAAACCAGCTCAGGAAAGCCCATTTGCTACTACTACAACACTTCAGGATGCAAGCTGCCGTGCAAAAAAGGTCGCTGTCGCCGCGGCCTGCATCTTTGCTGGCGCAAGGATTGTGCCAAGAGTCACCCGGGATACGAATGTCCCCGAGAGTGACTACTTCCCGATCCTGTTGCCCGTGGCGAGCCCAGCTCCGCTTCCCCTGTTTTGCAGGCTGCCGCGGTTCCTGAGCCCAGTGGCTGTCTCTCTGAGCCAGCCGAAGTTTTGTCGGAGCATTTGTTGAGAATGTCTGAGATATCAGTTGCATCCCTTCAAGAGCTCTTCAACCTTTTGCCGCATGAGGATCCTCCCCGAGGTTCTCCTGCTCTGCGTGCCTGTTCCTTCAGCACAGGCCTTTTTGTGCATGGGCGCATAAGTGGTTTGCGCCGTAATGCCCTTCGATTTCCGCTGTCCACGCGAGTGTTGTGCAGGTTTGTCACTGAGCGTGTGCCTGATCTCCATTTTACCAGCCTGAGTCTCTTCTTGAATGTCAAGACAGATTGCCACGTCGATTCGTATAATTCGCCTGATCGTGAAAACTGTGTGTTCAAGCTCAGCCCCTTTGCAAAAGGTGGCATATGGGTTGAGTGCCCTGATGGCCCCCCCCTGGGCCTGCTGTGGTTGTTAACCCTTTCGCCGGCGTGCTTGCTGGGCCCCCAGGGGCGGCACTAAGGCCTAGGATTGTTTCCAGGCCGAAGAGCACCCAGCAAGCAGGCGTGGGGGTCACAGTAGGGCGACAGTGCCGGCATTTTGGGTCTCTTCGTGGCTGGAGGCTGACGTGTTTCTTGCGGGAGGGTTCCCGGTTCGAACCTGGTGATCGCGCTTCTACACTTGACATGATCTGATGGAACAGCTACCAGTGGATCCTGTTTCACGCGGGGAGTGAGCGGTTACGCAAGTGTCGATGGTACAGCAGTTCGGCTTGATCGCGGTTCTCGCCTGGAGTGCGCAGTTACGCAAGCGGCTATGAGCTGATGGAAGCTCTGTCGGGATGGATCCCGGTTCGCGCCTGGTGTGCGCGGTTACGCAATCGGCAATGAGCTGATAGCCCTGGCGGGATGGATCCGGTTCGCGCCTGGAGTGCGCGGTTACGCAAGTGACAATGAGCTGATGGAAGCTCTGTCGGGATGGATCCCGATTCGTGCCTGGAGTGCACGGTTACGCGAGCTGCAATGAGCTGATGGAGACTCGAGTCGGGATGGATCCGGTTTGCGCCTGGGGTGCGCGGTTGGCCACCCGGTTCGCCTGCCCTAAGACCCTATGTTTTTTTCACGGTTTTCGTTGTGGTTTGATCCTTAAGCCTTCGGGCCGGAGGTGATGCCACTGCTAACTAACAGGCCAGGCCTTCGGGTCTCGGTCGTCCCTCCACTCCACTCCACTCCACTCCACTGATGGCCCCGTGATTCGACAAAGAGTGCTTGGCCGCATTCATGACTTTTCAGGGGGAGATGCCCGCTTCAACGCAAGAACGCTACGCCATTCGACTGAGTCTTGGACTGGTGGCCGCCTTGTCCTTGTGGCCTTCACGATCAACAATCCACAGAATCTCGCGTGCCACGATGTGGCCTGTGCCAAGGCTTTGGGCTTTCCTCAGGACGGTGGAGCCGACCCATCTCCCAGCTTCCAGGCTGCAGTTTCCGTGGAGCCCCGGCTTCCACGGCCCGCTGCGTTCGAGGTCTTTTGTGGTTCTGCCTCCCTTTCTAGAGAGCTGGCTGCTAGGGGCTTTGCTTGTGATCGCGACACCACCAATGCCAAGAGCGCAGCTTTGAAAGTTGACTTGCAACAAGCCTCCGGCCAGGAACTCTTCTGGTCCATGTGGTCGGATGCTCAAGCGGCCTATGTCCATCTCGGGCCCCCGTGTAGTACTGCGTCCCTGCGTACCCGCTCGGGAGCGGCCCATCTCCTCCCGAATGAAGGCATCCGGTGTGCCCCAACCGCCGCCTTTGCGGTCTGCTGCCTTCCCCTTCGGCCTCCCAGCAATGCTTGCATCCTCTGTGCACGGGCCTCGCCTGCATGCTGCCAATCGGTTGTATCGCTTTACTTCTGAGGTCCTGAAGGCTTGCCTCGAGGAAGGTCGTTTGGTTTCAGTCGAGAATCCTTCTTGCGTCGCGCCTATGCTGCCATGTTCCGCGTTGACTGCGCGCAGTGTATGCACGGCGGTTCCCGCCCCAAGATTTCCCGCTTTAAATTCTCACCAACGTCCCTTCCTTGCGGAACCTGGCCGGCCCGTGTGACAACGGCCATAAGCATGAGCCTTGGGGCACTTTTTGGACTCCCCGCAGGGTTGGCGTTTCGCCACCCACCTGGAAGCCCAGTACCCCCGCCTCCTTTGCCGACGCATCGTGGAGCATGTCTGTTGTCACTGTGCTTAGTTTGCATACTGATGCCCTGGCTTCCCTGGCCGTCCAGTCTCGACGCTTTCCACCGCTTGTTTCCGAGTTTGCTGAGGTGAAGTACTTGCCCTCTTCCGACGCCAAGCCGCCGAACTCTAAGACTTTATTAACGGGGGTCTCCACGGGGTCTTTAGGTAGTTCGTCTGGCGGTTTGTTCGATAAGGTGGGGATATATAGACTCCCTCCCGACTTTGTCCATGCAGCAAATTGCGTGAACCATCCCATGGATACCTCGAACCCTCTGGCCAAGGTCACCTGTGATGCGCTGGATTTTATTTTCGGCAACGAGCAGCGGCTGGTGCAGCTTAAGCGAAAAACGAATTTGCTGAAGGCGCATCTCCTAGCTAAGCGGTTGGATCCTGAGGAGTGCGACCTTAGGGATAGTTTGCCCGCGGGCATGAAAAAGGTTCTTGGGTCCAAGAGGTTGGTCCTGTGGGAGCGTTTGCTTCGTCAAGAGGGATACGATGACGTGGGCATCGTTGAGTGCATGAAGCGTGGTGTCCCATTGGGCACTCCTGACACTCCCCCGTGTTACGATGCCAAGCTGACTCCCGCGACCATCACGGAGGATCAGCTCCGCGACAATGCCATATGGAGGAGGAAGACCTTGATTGCTAAACCTTTGAGCGTGGCCGATGAGTGCTTTGACCCCTTGGAAGCTGCTTGCAAGGAAGAGCTTGAGAAGGGCTCTGTCGAAGGACCTTTCTTCAGTGAAGACGAAGTCTCAGCTTTCCTTGGCCATGATCGATGGTGCTGCATTTCATCATCAAGCAGGGCGAAAAGTATGGGCCCATCGACGACTGCTGTGAGTGCCAACTGAATGAAGGGTACTCCTCAATCTTCAAACTGCGGCTACAGGACGCTGATTATTTTGCAAGCCTTGCCTTGGACATCAGCAAGCGTGTCGCCGATGCGGCCAATCGGCCTGACCTTGCCAAGTGGAGCGGGAAGTGCCTAGATCTGTCGCGAGCATATAAGCAGCTAGCGATTCTGCCCCAGCATGTCGATCTTGCAGTGTGTCTTGTTCACACCAGGGATGGAAAGCCGGTGTTCTATGTGCCGAACAGCCTGATGTTCGGCTCCAATGAAGCGGTCTACGCTTTTAACCGTGTGAGTCGGAGCCTCTTCTTTCTCCTCAGCCGACTCTTGATCCTGCCTATGTCTTGCTTCTATGATGATTTTCCCATCATGTTACCTTCGTGTGATTGTGACGCCGTTGATGGGATGATATCAGAACTGCTTGACCTTTTGGGGTGGGAGCATAAGCGCACTGGTGAGGGTCATTAAGGGCCTCCCATTCGCGGAGCAAGTGGACATCGTTGGAATGCGAGTTGACCTTTCGACGGTTGCCGAGTTGCCGATGGTTGTATCACGCTTGCCAACAAACCCGGCCGAGTGGCCAAGATTTGTGAATTTGTGGATTCCATCAGCAACGATGGAACCATGTCAAGGCATCAGGCGCAGGTTCTTCTTGGACTCTTGAACTTCGCTTGTGGATACTACCATGGTCGTGCCCTGCGTTATCTGTGCAAGGACTTAATCGGGGTTGTTTCTGGCAACAACTTGAGCGACAAGCTTTGCAAAGGTTTTGTGCAGAAGTGAAATGCACGCTGCAACAGACGCCGCCTCGCACCTTGCGGCTCGCGGCCGACCATGGCGTTCTTCACTTGTACGTTGATGGCTCGTGGGAACGAGGTTTTGCCGGTCTTGGCGCTGTCTTGACCGATCCATCTTCAGGTGCAGGCCGTGTGTGGCAGGGCGTGGTACTGCCAGCCATCATCTCAAAGTGGGAGAGCGAGGTGGGTGACCATCTCATATGCCAGATAGAGGTGTATGCAGCGCTGTGCATGCGAGACTATCTCAAGTGCTTCCTGAAGGATCGGAAGCTGATCCTATGGACCGACAACGACGCGACACGTCTTTGCTTGGTGAAGGGGCGCAGTCCGAGCCCGTCGATGCATGACATGGTCAAGCGATTTGGGAGGGCCGACGTGGAGCATCCTTGTTACCTGTGGGTAGACCGAGTGCCATCAATGTCGAACCCTGCCGATGCTCCTAGCACGAGGCACGAGCACCAGATGGCGATGCTGGAGGCCGATCGCAGCTTCGTGTTCTTCCTGGAGACGGGGCCTCATGGGATGGTGGGACTGTTGGTGCAAGCCAGTCAAAACTGGCATCAACAGTTCGAGCTGGGAAACATCAAACAGTCACTCAGGTCCACGTTGTGGGGGGTCCTGCTGATGGAGTGGCAGGCTCGGCTGGAGAAGATCGAGACGGACACGCAGGCTCTGCAGACAACGGAGGCAGCCGGTTGGATTTCGCGGTCTCCGCTCCAATGGGCTTATACGGAATGGCATGCAGAGCAGCGGAAGGCACTCCCTTCCAGTCGCGACAATCTCACTCACGACAATGCGAAGAAAGCAGTGGCCAGGCTGCTCAAGCTCACGGCGAAGGATGGCATCGTTCACAGGTTTCAGAGTCTCAAACCTCTGAAACCAGAGCTCCAAGCAGAAGTGATCGTGATGTTGCTCACGCTCACCATTCACCAACACGCAGCGGAGATCTACGAGGACTTGAACACGCTCGCAAACAACAGCGCAGGCAAGATCATCGGCTTGCGCCTCCGAAGGGAAAGGGTCGGAAAATCAGCACTGGCGAAGGAGCTGGAGCGCCTGCACATCTGAGCGATGAGCGGATTCCGCCTCGCGCTGATTCATTGGTGATGGAGAGCTTCAAGGGTATGCGGTCTCCGCCACCCGTGACTGCCACTTATCAGGGAGAGACTGGACAACACAGTCTCAATGCCTATTTTAGGGGACAGAGCTCAGAGATCGCCGGAACCCTCACCCATCCTGCCCCGAACAAGCGCTCTCCTACGCAACCTTCTGAGGCTGTTGCAGGTGATACAAGAGCTCTGACTACACCGGGACACCATGCCGTCAATGCGCAGCATAGTGAAGGTGGTAATAAGCGGTCTCCGCATTCCACAGCATCCACGCCGGGGACTCATAGCGAGGTCGTGCAATCGGGGAAAAGTCAGCAGAGATCTCTACTTTCATGGAGAGTGGCCAATCCTGCATCGCACACGGCCCATGCACGGAATCTGATCCTGACTAATCCTCATAATCTCTGCTATGCCAATGCCACAATACACATGCTTCATCAAGCATGTTCCCAAAGCGGCCTTATCACGGGACTCGGTGAGCTTAATGGCGCTTTGATGCAGGCAGCACGGTCCAGCGGGATCACCAACATTGCCCGAGACTCAGCCTGGACTTTCATGTGGCCTGGATGGCAGCGACCCACTCGCCAGCACGATGCCGCAGAATTCCTTCAGCATGTGTGCCAACGCACGGAATGTGAATCGCTTAAAGGAGGATGGGAGGCTCGCAAGTTGGGTGATGGAGTTTATGATGTGACGGATGAACAGTTCACCTGTCCACACATAAGGCTCCAGATGCACCCGCCCTTCCAGATTCAGGCGGCCGTCAACAGCTGGCACACCCAAAACATTGTGCATGCATTCACGCGCCCACCTGAGATCCTGATTCCTGCAGGTGGGTCGATTCCTGCACACGGATCGGGGCATTCGCAAGACCCGCCAGACGTTTCAGCTCCAGCGACAAATCAGCGTTCCTGTTTTCACTGATCATGCTGGTACTGTCAGTCAGGTACCCTATAGACTCTGCGGTGGGGTATTGCACATTGGAAAAGTAGTGACTGCAGGCCACTACCAAGCATTCTACTTTCCTGGGGATTCAGATGATCTGTGGAGCACTTTCATGCTCCATGATGACGAAGCCGCAGCCATTGCGGGCACAGCTGCCATCAAACAAGCCATAGTCACCAACTGTTACCTGCTGGCATACAAGAGAAGTGTGCACCCCTGAGATTGCTGGGGGCTAGCGGTTTTCCGCTCCCCACCATGCTGGTGCTGCCTGAGTGAGCTTGCATCAATCTTTTAAAGACGGTGCTCGAGGTTTCCTCTCACTGTCACCGATGCCTGTATATATCATCTGTACATTACCCTAGTTGCTTTCTAGACTAATCCCACACTCCGTGGGGTAACATGTTTATGTCCCCTGCCATGGCATCAACTGCCGGGCTCTACGGGGCGCAGTTGAGACTCCACCGGCGAACCCTCCTCAATGGAGGAGGGGTGACAAGGTCACAATCGCCCGCAAGACAGCTGACACAGCTGATGCGCTTGAATGAATGAAAAACGGTGCTCCTAGCAGAGGCGAAGGCGAGAAGGTGTTGAAGCTTGCAGGCGCCAGCCGATTAGAGTCGTTTCCTACGCTTGCATCCTTCGACTGATCTATGTCCTGTAGCGACATGTCTGCGGTCATTCAGCTGGGGAAGTCTCGGGACCTTGGCGTGTCCTGTAGGACTACTCAGCCGAGGATGTCTCCCGTGGTCCGGAATGTCTGTCCTGACTTTCCCCCGACTGCGTAGATCAGTGAGAAAAACGAAGCAAGTGCGAGTGATGCCATCTTCCACATATTCTATCCTCTTTTCGAATATTTCGATATGTGAGGATTGTTTTATATTGATTCAAGGAATCTTTTATCTGGTCCTGCAGTTTGGCGCTGCACAGATAAGAATCCTTTTCTGTAAGATATCAGTCTTTCCGGTTTTGCTCAAGTGTTCACTGCTGCTACTGGAGAAGGAAAACCTCTATCAGAATGCCAAGACGACGTCACGGCCGGCCCCCAGCTTGTCCGAGTTTGTACAGAAGTCCGGTAGCGAGTAGGGACAACTCACTTCTGACTGTTCGCCTGGCGGGAAAGAAGTGACAGAGGTTTTTTCAGGCACTGGGGGCGTTGCAAAGCAATGCCAAACATGCACAAGTGACAAGTGGCACTTTTGAGCATGATGTCGGTGATACGGATGATGAGGGTCGTAGGGTGAGTGATAAATTAGATGACATGAGACTTCCAAGCCGTGGGAGCCCACCACTCTCAAAGCCGTGCCGATCGGGAAAGACTGTGAGGTTCCAGGAGCCAGTGTCATCCTCCTTTCCGCAACATGGCCTTGCAGCAGATGAAGAAAGCCGAGCTCCAGAGCAAACTCCGGGAACTCGGCGAGGAACCTCCCACGCGCTGGACCAAGCAGGAACTGGCTCAGCGCATCCTCGAGATCGAGCCCTCTTTGGGGGAGAAGAAGGGAAAGCAGCGCACCGACCTGCAGGAGAGGAGCAAAGCGCTGGGAGTGGCAGCGCGCAAGAAGAGCACGTTGACCACGTTCTGCGAGGAGATCGGAGTGGACCTGCGGTGCAATCACGACATGTGGTCCACGGAACAAGTAGCCGCAGCCCTACGCCGCTTGTACGATATCAGCACTCCTGCAGCAGACGATGTTGTGGGCTTCGGGCAGCACAGTGCGCTGATGTACCGCGACATCCTTGTGCTCCACCCTACGTATACAAGGACTGGGTGTTGAAGACGGCCAAAAGTTCGACCTCCGGGGCGGACTACCGACTGCTACGCCTGGCGTCATGGCTGGAGCAACAGGGAGCCGAAGAGGTGGAGTTGTGCAGGATTCGCGAGAGTCCGATGAAGCCGAAGAGCAAGGCGAAGGGATATCCAGCGAGTACGGCACGGCTCAGGCATCCACGGAGGTGCCCGTGGAACTCCTGCAGAACATGATGCAGTCCATCCAGAACCTCCAGCAGTAAGTGACGGGGATATTTTCTGCTTGCATACTTTTTTCTTTCTTTCAAAAACCCGACAGGCAGCAGAGCTGCCGTGTTTACACATGATTTAGATTGATGAAATTTCTTGCTCGGAGTTTGATATTGGTGTCCGCTTGTGAGATGACTTATATGTCCCGGCAGTTCTTCTCAAGCGGGGGGGGCCCAAGAAATTTTTGTTTTGGGCCCCCTACGCTCTTTTCGGCAAGCTAGCAGGCTCTGGCCCCCGGTAAATCCAGCTGTAGACTGTCACGGACCCGTCGCGGGGCACCAGATGGAAAGTGCCGAACCGCCTTCCAGTGAGCCTGGTAGCAGCGGTACCAGCAGCATTGAGCTGATTAGCAGCCACTTGCATCGGCTGCAGTGTGATTTTGACAGCTTGCAGGCTTCTTTTCGTCAGTATTGACCGTGTGCACATTGTATCGATAGCACATACATTGCCATCGCCTGTGCGGTTGTAGCCGTCCTTCTCCTGGCCAGTCTTCTGCTTCTTGTTTTTATCCTTGCCTGTGCCGCCTCGCCCCTTGCCGTTGCCCTTGTTGGGCGCATCCAGCTGCTGCGCTGTATCCCGGTTCCACGGCTGCGGCCTCTTGGCACATAGCGACAACGGAGTAGTGAAATGCCTCTCCTTAGTAGCCGCATCTCGCCAGGCCGCCGCGAGGGCGTGTGCAAAGCCTAGCGAGAGGTTAGCCATTTGCTTGTAGGCAAACTTGCGTATCTGTCTCTCATAGCTCAGTACCAACGTCCAGGGAAGTGCTAGCGAACCACTAGCCTCGTGCGACCTTAGCCCGTAGCAGTAATCGCCGAGAAGGTAATCTTTATACTTCTCAAATAGCTGCTGGTTGGTATCCTTTAGCTCCACACGGCCCGGGTGATGAAGCTGTATCATCAAGAGAGCATTCGCCATCACCGTTAGCCGTGACAGAGCTGCTCTGGGCCAGATGGCATAGCCCCTTTGGAGCTAGCTTTCTTAAGCACTATCGTGCCTTTGCTATCCCACTGCGGGACGAGGGTCCTCGTCCCGGGCTAGCACCTCGCTCAGGGGCTCTGCCCTGAACTCGCCAGTTTCTAGGTCGTGGAGCTTTTTCTCAATATACTCCTTAGCCGGCACATGCTTATCCTCTGGCTCTCCGAATTTGAGGGCAAAACTCATAGCCATGTAGTCGGTCTGGGCTATCGGCTTAGCCCATTCTCGGAGCTGGGCTGCGGCTTCTAGTTCGGCGTGGCCCTTGATTCTAGCCTGTGCGCAACAAAGCTAGCCGCGAGGGCCCGATTCGCCAGGCCCGTATCCACATCTATCGAAAAATCATCCTTCAGGACACTTCGCAAGTCGTCCTCGCTGGTAAAGCTCGCCGAAAAATTTCGCAACAGTATCCGCGCCGGCCTTGAACAAGATGGCCTGAGCACTATCCCCGACCCTGTGCAGGGTGAGCAGGTATCGTAGGTCGGTCGAGCCCTTAGCCAGATTAGCTTCGAGCTCCGGGTCGGCCGAAGCCCCCGGACCCAAGAGAAAAATCAGGCTTGAAAGGAGGCAGCTGCTCCAGCCTAAGGAGACATGATGTCGAGGATTTCCCCACGCCCTATCCCCTCGACTAGCCGAACAGTGGAGGCCCCGCCCAGAAGAGGAACGAGAGCGGACGATTGGGCGGATCACTATCGTTTTTTGCATGCGGCGGCTGCGGATTGTGTCGAGTGCACGCGGTACTGGCTTCAGAATCGCGCGAACCCCTTGCGGGGCACGGTCAATAACCCGGAGTACAATGCCCTGGCCTGTTTCTTGCGAAGCTTGCCGCTAGCTCGACACGACGATTCTCCCACGCGCGCAGTGGCTGGCGTGTCTGCAGTGCAACTCTCTCGTTGCATCCTGCACAATGTGCAAAACAAGAAGCGGCGGCCGTGGTTTGCCCAGTTCCGTGTCTGGCATTGATGCTGCGAAGTTCTGCCATCGCCGTGAGCTTCTGGACGTCTCCGATACCTCCTCGAGCGTACCGT